ATCACTCAATTAGCTCTATACTCTTACAAAGGGAAGAACAAATACTATAAAAGCAAAGACAAATACCACAATACTCAGGTTAAAAAAAGCCAAGGTTCTTTGAACTATCAGCCCAAGAACTCATCTACTCCCAAGGCTTCAACTTCACAAGCTGCTTACATAGCCTCTTCTACCCTCGAACAAATCGGATTGGTATCTCAATACAGGAGCAACCTCACATTTAACTGCCGATTATCTTCAACTCCGTCACCCTGAACCTTATCAAGGTATTGAGAGTGTGATGGCAGTAGGGAATAGCCACACTATTCCCATTCAACATAGTGGAAATGGTTTATTACCTACCCTCAACCAAACGCCTAAAACAATTATTTCCTCTCATAACTTGATATCTATGTCTCAACTTGCTCGTGATAATAATTGCATGATCATTTTCGATGCTCATGTCTATCAAATAAAGGATCGGACTACTCAACAACTTCTTCTTCAGAATCCTTGTAGTGATGGATCGCATCACATCCATACAAATCCTCAAGTCTTAGTTTTGGTCACCACTCAGTCCGACGTGTGACATCAAAAACAAAATGGTTTACAGATTTCAATCCATTTATCTTTTTGTATTTCTAGTATTACAACTAAATGTCATCGTAGTCCTTTTCATGCTTCCACTAATTCTCAATGTAAACCGTTAGCTTCCACTAGTCCATAAAATTGTCCAAATGGACGTTTTCAATACTTTTCTCCACAGCCATCATTATGAAACCTTCTACATGCATAAACCACCCAGTCATTAAGATGTAGCCTATCCAAATCATGTGTGTCTTTTACAGAAACTAATTTTATGGTCTTAAACAGACCCTGAGACAATGGAATCATACATTCACTCAACATCTTCTCAACTTTGGGTTTCATATTAGGAAAGTAGATCCTTCACTTTACATTTACTCTCCTCATTCTCATATACTTTATCTTCTCCTTTACAATGATATAACATATGACATAAATTTAAATAAATGAATAAATATATAACTTAAAGTAACTTTCGTTAACTGCTATGAATCATAAAATGCAAATGAGAATAAGAACTTGAAAGTGGTGAAAAAATTCTAAATTCTTTTACTTTTTTTATAACATTTCATTATTCCTTTGGGTAACTAGATACACGCGAGTAGTTAGAAATTTTGTGATTAATCGTGGTGCACGACTGTACGAGCAATCAAAGGAGATAGTTCGTACCTCAAAAGTAGAAGAAAAAGCCCTAAATTAATGCACTCGAGACTTATCATTCTTGAGAATATGAAATATATGTTTTAAGATGAAAATAGAAAGAGCTTTGGGAGATAAATCATCATGAACAGATGGATTGTGGGCTCTTACATTCTAGTCGATGACCATGGTGTGGACATTCTTTATGAATACCAACATTGACTTCAATTCGATGAGCCTTGCATTATTTGATCAAAGCCAAAAAAATTGAGCCGAACCGAATAAATTCAATTGATTTGGTTTAATTTCGAAGATGTGTTTCTATTTTATAAAAAAAGCATATTGGTTTGATTTTTTCGGATTTCAAACTCTGGCAGCAATCGTTTTAAACCGAATACTCGCCCCTTATATTGAAGGTAGTTGTTAAGCTAGGCAACGATGATGCGTGGTCGCTATCAACGTTAGTAGAGTTGTCGAACATTAGCA